CCTGGAGAGCAAGAGAGAAATCTGCTGTAGTTTAAATACACACTAGAGCTAATGACATGGTCTCCATTACTAACGCTAATTGTAAAACACTGCAGTTAATATTGATATATTTTTTGAATTAGACTGAATGGGGCAGAATACGTATTGCGTAGCAGGTTATTTTGAAATACAAATAGACGAACCGGTGTGTGTATTATTTTTTTTTAGGTTTGGCTTGTTTTACGGCATATCAACATCAATGGGTCATTTAATGCTGACAAAATGTTTATTGCTGGTGATTTTTTTTCCAAATATGTATTGCTAGTATTTTCACTATAAAAACTTATTTTTACATTTTTATATAGTTTTGACACCAGTTTGGGGGTTTCCTATTTGTCCATAGCTGGGACCCTAACAGGTGCTAATACCACGGGTCAGGGTGGACCTGGGAACAATAGCAATTAAGAGGTGTTTCCACGCTCTTGAAAACCTCTTGATCAGAGGCTTTGCTGCCGGACGGAGTTTATCGTCATACCCAGGACGAACAAAATGCAGCACATCTTTATTCCAACAACCCCTTTTATCAAATTACTTTCCACCCTTTAATTTTGGACAAAATGCTCCAGTATATAAAATTATAAAATTCTAGCCAATACTTTTATTCCAGCCTTCTCGTCTATTTGAATTTAAATGTAACCTCTACCTGCTCTCGCACATCTACGTACGCATATCTACACACAATTGTAAGATGGCAGAATGTCGTCAGCCCAAAATGCGGACTACGAAATCAAGGAAATACGAAAACTTAAATATCTATGAAGTGTTCTAACAAAGGACGAAAAATGTGACATCAAAACCCGAAGGCGAATTTGAATAGAGAAAGATGCCTTCCAAAAGCTAAGCAAAATATTAAGAAACAGGAAAATTTCGTTAGAAACAAAGAAAATACTAAACTCTAATATAATTATTTAATATCAGTCGGACAACCTCACAGATGAAGGAAAGGTTAGGGTAAGACTTGAGGAAAATTTGTGAACAATACATTTAGAAGAAAATGGAAACGAAAAGGACATTTATATTTAGAACCAGAAAAAAAACAGCGAAACATGTGAGAAAAGGGGTTTGGAGAATTTGACACTCACAGGATATATTGAAGGGAGGAAGGCGATGTAGTAATCTACCTAACAATCTCGTGTAAATGGTTGTCAGAACATGGACTGGCAAGAAAATAAAAGACATCTTACTAAGAGCTACTAAGGATAGGGAGTTGTGGAGAGCCATGATAATGCACACGGGGAATGGAAGAATCTACGCAAATTAAGCACTGGCTACATACATCCCTTGTACAACCATGTGAGTGAAGATTTCACACTTTCTTAAATTTGCACAACGAAAATCTATCACGACTTATTTTATCAAAAACTTTTTTATGAAGAACTGATGGAGGGGGGAAAGGAATCTATTACACCTCAGTGGAATTAAATGAAAATATTGGTGTAGGAAGAGTTAGATGTTTGAAAGAAGCCACACATATGCTAGGTTATGAGGATCCCATTAGTCGGCCTTGCATAGAAATAAATACGATAAAGGAGACACTAATAAAAATAAATGACATCAGGACTTCAACAGCAGTAGCAGCTGTAACAACAGAGAAACTTCGGTGTGTGCAGTCAAGCATAACAAGCATCAGCAGCATTCAGCAGCAGGCACGTTAGGTTTAAAGCTCCTGGTTTCCATGCACGTGTGCAAAGGTTTGGTTCGTTTTTTTTTGTTTTTTTTTTTTTTACAGCATATCAATCTTAATGGGTTATTTAATGCCGACAAGATTTTTATTGCTGGTAATATTTTTATCCAAAAGTGTATTGTTGATAATATTTTGTTTTTTCAAAAATATATTGATGGTAATAATTTTCTTTTGAAAAATGTACTGCTGGTAATAATGTCTTGCAGGGAATCCTTTTTTCTTCAAAAATGTATTTTCTGGTAATAATTTTTCCAGAAGTTATTGGTGATATTCAAACCTGTTTTTATACTTTCATAATGTTTTCAGTTAACTATTTACCCATAGCTGGGACCCTGACTGGTGCTACCACCCCGGTTCAGGGTGGACCTGTGAACATTAGCAATTAACAAATGGTTCCACTATCCATAAAACCTTCTGATCAAAAGCCTTGCTGTCGGATGTAGTTTATCGTCTTACCCAGGACGGAAGTGTGGAAAGGTTCAAGATTCCCACGCACAAGTATGGAAAGTTTTAAAAAGTCCAGTTTTTTCACGCTCAGCTTTGAAAATGTTTAAAAGGACCAAGATTTCCATGCATTTTGTGAAAATGTTTGAAGGTTCAGGTTTTCCACATTGCGATCACAGGATAATAGCCTATTGGATTAAAGCGACTGTTCGTGAATTTGTTGATATGGTAAATGTGAGTTCAATTCCTGCGCCGGGCAGTGTGTATTTGTACTTAGTAGGGCATATTCTTAAGAACTAGACGTGATATCCATAGACATGTGCAGTGGGACTAGAAAGGTCTACACTCGTACATTAAATAGAATTCCCTGTAGGTCACTCGGATCGACTTACTCCCGATGAAGGCCAGAGAACACAACGGCCAAAACGTTGTGATAACAACAAAAATGAGGACAATAGTCCTTATGTAAATAAATAATGTATTCTTTTCAAGATACATTAACGAAAACACATAACACTTGGTAAACTGACACACAGACCTATTTATAAAAGTGAAAAATGTTCGACAATATAAAAGTATTGGTGTATGGTGAAATTAGTCCTATACATACAGGAAACCAAGAAGGAGAAATCAAGTTGAAAAACTGCAACATCATCAAATCCGTTCAGGAATTTGTTTACCTCGGCGGCAACATCCAGTCAACGGAGAGAGACATCAAAATCTGCAAAGGCCTGGGGTGTCCTTGATGGTCTGAGCACCACCTGGAAGTCCTTTCTCTCTGAGAATCTTAAGGGACATTTTTAAGGCCACAGTAGAATCTGTCTTGCTCTACGGCTCAACAACATGGACACTGACGAAATACCAAGAACCATCACTTGACAGAATATACGTAAGGTAAGGATGTTACGAGTTGAATTGGTCATCAGCTGTAAGAAACACCCAACAAAGAAACGCTTGTATAGACATCTTCCTCCTTTCTCAGGAGAGAAGGCTTCAGCTAGCTGGTCACTCCTGTAAGTCAGAACTTGTGAGCGACGCCCTCCTATGGAACCCATTGCGCGGCAAAAGATCGGTTGGAAGACCTCATCACACTTACATTGACCAACTCTGGATGCCATCTAGAGGACTTGCCGACGGTGATGTCTAACAGAGATGGTTTGAAGGAACGAGTCAGGAGAATCCGAGAAGAATTCTCGACTTGATGATACAGGAAACATTCAGCATCCATTGACCGAAAGGTTAGTGTGAATGTTGCTTGAAATTTATACTCTTTGTTAAAACAATTTTCAGGAAATTAGACTTCTCAAGTCCACTGTTATTGCTCCTAGTATTGATGGGAGTTTCCTTCCTAACTTTCTGTTTAGTGTAGTGTGGAAAGACAACCTATTAATTATATCATTATTTTGTCTTCTAGTTACATGTACAAGTGGTTTTATAATCTTATATTAAAATTGTATCTACCCATAATAAATCCTGATAGAACTTCTAGTTTTCATAGGATCGGCAAGTTATATAGATTAAATAAATCTGGCGAGAAGATGCAGCCTTGTCTTACACCCCATTTTTATTTTTGTGTACAATTCATTTTCTATCTGGATGCAGGCGCTTTGTTCCTAGTAAATGTTCGGGATTATTCTAATATATATCCCAAATAAACAAAGTATCCCTAGCTTTTCAAATAGCTCTTTTCGTAAAATTTTACAAGCATGAGATGCAAAAACATGGCTTAAATGGGTTCGAGATTGAATCAGGTATAAAATGTCGAAATAAGCACCTGCAGCATTAATTTATTTATATAGGAACTATTGTCCCCATCTTTGTTGTTATTATCACAATGCTTCAGCTGTTGTGCTTGCACGGAAGAATTATATCGATTCTTACCGTTTTATTTAGTAACGAAGCTCAGCAATCGATTTTTTTTAATAAGAAAAAAAACTACTTCGAAAAGTTAAAAACAGTAGACAAGTAATTTTTAAAATGAACTTGAAGACATACAAGATAAGACGTGCTTAGATAAAATGAGTGTAGGAATTGGCCAGATGGTAGATATGGCTTTTCACAGTAATACTAGCCGTTATCAATATCACTCATTCCATTTTAGAAGAAAAAAAAGATTAAAATTTCGAATTTTATATGCCATTGAATACTTGACAATTTCCTCGTAGATGAAGGGGAAATTTGGGGCATCAATGATGTAGTTTGACAGGAAAGTCTCGATGGTGCATAGAACATGTGAGCAATGAGGAAAGGTAAAGTTTATACTTACTATCAGAAAGAGTTGAAATTTATAAGATACACAATGAGGAAGGAATTAACACCTAGGACATATTGACATATTGACATATTGAGGATATGAGCGGAATAGAGAAACCATAACTTTACTGATTAAAGTTATTTTGAACGTTAGAATGTGTTTTTTCCAATTTAAATATTCCCCTCTGGAATACAAAATATGCAAATTATAAAGTATTAAGATCATTTGCATTTCCCTAATGGCAGCGAAAACCACAAATATTATGACTGATTTGATTATTCATTCAATTATAAATTGTTCGGTTATTCGTTTTCCACGGCCTATCGGCCCATTGCAGGTTATTTAAAGCCAGAAAATATTTTTTTTCTAGATTTCAGGATTTGTTTTTTGGGGTTGATAATGGTCTAGGGATACAAGTCTTATTGCTTAACCCATAGTTGGGGAGGTAAGAGTTGGATTAATGCATTTCCCAAGGAGATTAGCACTTAAGTGAATATAACGAACCCAACCGGAATTAGAACACGGCTATCTGGTTAACAATTCCGAGCCATTATCCATTACACCATGCGCACATCCAAACTTACAGCACATGGTATTCCCAAGTTGTCAGCCATCAAGGTACTGGCCAGACTCGACGTTGCTTAACTTCGGTCATCGTACGGGAACCGGTGTTTTAACGTGATGCGGCCGTAAGACATGCAAATATAGATGGTTTTAAAAATATGTACCTTTTGCTATTCTAGTCAAATAATGCTTTATATTTTGTGTTAACTTATTGGTTAAACAGATTAGGAACATTAAGAAGGCCATTAAAAATTTCATAAAATTCTGAATGTAAATATGTCAAGTTTTCTAATTTTTTTCTTTGATTTCTAAGTTTTTTTTTCTGTTTCCTTTCCGAGTCTACCATAAAAGCAAGCCCCAAAGAGGATTGAGTCTCTGACTAAGTTGGTTGGTTGATTTTATCTAGCTGCACATTAACCCCTCTATGGGTCATTCAATGCTGAAATCTAAATATTTAAAAAAAAAAAAATTGCATGTATTCACCTATAGATAAAATCTATTGTTTGTAATTTTACTATAAAATGTATTTTTATACTTTCACAATGTTTTGTTTTTGTTTAGGGGTTCATTATTTGCCCATAGTTGGGACCCTAACAAGTGCTGCCACCTGTCTTTATTGTCTTTACCTAGGACTCTCTTACTAGGAACTCAACCGTTAAGACTGGTGTTCTGATTAAGTTGCGATAAATAGCAAGTAAAAATTAAGACGAAAGTAATTGTCATAATTAATAATGGTTGGAAAATGTTTCATCTAAAAGAAACATGCTTGCTACTGAAACCATTACTGTTGTGTGGGAAGCTCCTCATTGGGTACCGTACACTTTTTACCCTGTGCCAAATGAAGTCAAATTTAATAACTAAACGAAATTCTACTGGCAACATTCAAACGCTTGTTCAGTTGCACTTGCTTGTAGTTGAGCGAAACCATGTTGTTTCGCAAGCCATTAATAATGAAATCGATGGTCATAAAGCGCTCCAGGAATCTCACCTTATGCCAAAACTAACCATTGTTCAAATCAATCGATAAACGTGCACGTGTTTGCATGCCTACGTGCACCTCAGTCTTTCAAACATTTGTTCTGACTCTTTCACTTAGATATTCACGCATGATGCACTTATTCGACCTCCACGCACACAAATACGTCGACTAGAAAAAGCGCGCTTCCCGCTTTCACCGAAATTACAAAAATGGCACTCATTTCAAGCGTTTCTCTGAAATACTATTACATCGTTTTTTTTTTATCTGCATAACAGAATCCGAGTATGTCACGTGGTCTTCGACTGAAAGTGACTGCGATTGGTTACGTTATCTCCAGAGTCTCTCGTCTGCTTTAATCAAATTGTTTTATTCTTTTATCTTTGTTGAACATGTGAGTTTTATTTTTATTTTATTCGGTACCTGTTTCAGTCGATATAGTTCCACCAATTAGTGTAAGTCTTAACAGAATTAAACCTATTAAATTTTTTTAAAAAATAATTAAAAAAAACAAAAAACACTATTTAAATCTATGTAAATAAAATAATTTGAAATTAGATTTGACAAATTCTGAATGATATGATCCTGATAGTTTTTCGAGTAAATCATACATTCTATTGTTTAAAAATTTTTTTTTTTATCATTTCACCCAAGGAGAAAATTGGTTAGGGGGAGTGAAAGAGAAAGGACAATAAAAGAAAAGGTTTTTAGAAAGACATGACAGTTGGTGTTGCATTTACATTTTTCAAGATTGTAGGTGACAGGAAAGCAAGAAATCAGAAAAGAGTTCCAGAGACAAGAAGTGCGAGAAAAAACAATTAGAATAGGACATACGGTTGTATCTCACTAGTTCAACAGTAAAATGGTGAGACCTAATATCAAATCTAGTAGCATGCTTAAATTCATGTGGTCGAGGCACCAAGTAGGAAAGCTCATCAGAATAATTGCCATAGTATTTGTAGCTTCTGTTTCATCTACTTAATTTCCCCTAAAAAAACTAAAGCCAGTGCGTGATATGGTTTTCAGGCACTTTTCAACAGTGAGCTTGTCTCCCATATTGTCACCTCCTTGACAAATCGACCATTGTGAAATTTGAACCCGACTCTCATGGCCAGAACGCTCACATCCTAAACACTCAGAATTGCGCTAATAGCCATTTAGAAAGTACACGTCAATTGGTTCAAATGAAGGGTTAAGAATAGCCTTCTGTGCCAAATCTTACAAGCTGTTATGTCTGCTTATTAATATACATATAAATTATTCAGCATACAGAATCCTAATTTATTTCTGGGTTCGACATTCAAACCTAAATGCCAATGGAAAATAGACAAATATTCCATCTGTGAAGCAGGCCAACATTTGCTTTATTTCTCATTTAATTCATGATATTTAGGAAGCTTAGTTTCGTACAAGCCCAGGGAATTGAGGATTCCAGCTAATGCAGATGAAAAATAACCATCAGCAAACTTAAATTTTTATTCACCGAATTTATCAGTGCCCCTTTAGAAACTTTTCTATAATTGTTAAACTTGTATAGTGCCCAATTACAAAGTTATAATACAGGCATGAATTCGATCCTCACACGGTACCAGCACACATGTAACCATGTGCAAAAACTGAGCAACAACAAGTAAAAAAACTATATTGTGCGTAATCTTAGAGAACGTTTTAGACATTTTCTTGTATCACGATCAAGATTAATCCAGGTACGTTAAACAGTCGACCGGCAGAGTCGAGCGGTCAAAGTAGCGAACTCAGTCGGCAGAGTCGAGCGGTCAAACTCGGCCGGCAGAGTCGAGTGGCTAAAGAGTCGGACTTTCTTCATGACACGAGCTTCATTCTCCACGAAAGAGGAATGATTGTAACGGCAATAATCATTGGAAACAATTAGAAATGATATACCTAGCAGGCTTAAGCAAGTGGACGACAGAACATGGGCTGGGGGGGGAGTAGCAAAGGGACAATAGTGATTGAGAACTACAAGGGATAGGGGAAAGTGGAAGGTCATGATCGCTTACGTCCAGAAGGGACACAGCACATAAAAAAAGTAATTTGCCATTTTTTAATATTATATACAGATGGATTTTACTTTAAAAACTACTGGAAGCCTAAGTGATCTCCCTTGATGTCTTAACTATTTCCGCTATTGAACTGATTATGAAATATTTTTCAGCTTTAATTCGAATCTCAGGCAACGGAAAATTGGAAAAAAGATAAAGTTGCTGTTCTGTTTGGCATTTCATCGATTTTAGTTCTCAAAATAAAAGATCAGCCAATGATTCTGAAGTCTTTTACAAAGGCGTTAATGACAGCCAGCTATACGATCTAAATAAAAGCCTTGAACCAAACGTGGATTTATGAAGCGACTAAAAAGTGTTACCAATAGAATGAATATAACTATGCATCCTTCGTGAAGTTGCTGTCTACATAACCAGGAAAACTATTTCGAAAGTGATGGCGTTAATTAGATTATGGGGTCCATGTAGGGAGGGACTAATTGAATAACTGGCTTTAATTTTATTTCCACCACTTGATGACGCCATTGTTAGCCTGATTTGAATTAAGTTTCTCTCACTTTTCTTCTAAGCGGATATGATAGGGGTAGAAGAGTTAGCTTATTGCCAGGTTCTCACTCCTACCAGACTTTTGGACAGGAGTAGAGGTTTATCCGTCGTGTTCTGTTTAGAATTGGGTTTCCAGTTCCTAAAGTCTACTTCAACTATACTTCTAATGTCTCCACTTAAACTCTGAAAATTTATTTACAATTTTTATCTCAATGAGATAAGACAGGTTCACCTATCGTCACATTTACACACTTCCCCGGTCTTTTGAAAAGGAGTAGAGGTTTATCTGTCGTGCCCCGTTTCAGATTGGGTTTCCGGATCCTGCTAAAGTCTTCTCAGTAGTCCGTTGCGTCTTAGTGGCACTATCGCCTAGCTTGGGTTGGGTAAATTGATTAAGAAGAAAAAAGAGAAAAAGAAAAAAGAGAAAAGAAAAGAGAAAAAAGAAAAAAAAGAAAAAAGAGGAAAAAGAAAAAAGAAAAAGAGAAAAAAGAAAAAGAAAAAGAAAAAGAAAAAAGAGAAAAAAGAAAAAAGAGAAAAAAGAAAAAAGAGAAAAAAGAAAGAAAAAAGCTCAAATAAATTGTATTGTATTTGCAGCAAATTATTAACCTTTCATGAAATACAATGTTATTAAATCTGTGTTTGGAGCTGGTCGATACATTGAATATAGAATTACTTGGTATGCTGTCTCAAGTTGCTCAAGAAAAACAGTAGTCTAGGAAACACAGCTAAATAAAAATGTACCTTTTGTGAATCGGAACCAATAGATTTTATATATATACTCCATTGACATAATGTGGGATTTTTTCTTATTCTAAAAGAGACTGCTTTGATCTTTCCATCAATATAAAGGTTTATGTTGAGAGAGATTTGTTAATAGTATGTGGACGTGTTGGAATGGCCTCAAACAAGACAGTAAAATTGAATGTGCAGATATTTACATACAATTAACAATTTACACTGACTGAGCAAACTAAATAGGTAAAAAAGGCGAAAGTCGTGAAAAAAAAAAAAAAAGAAGTGTGCATGTGGAGATGTCCTTATAGTATGTGAAAAGTTCATATTAAAAGATTGCTAGACTTAAATTTTCATCAGTGTTCTTTGTTGGCTTCGTAGAATGGTTAGATATTCCTGTACTTAAACTTGGGGAAACTACATGCTGTGCGCTTTGTTCTGCTCAATGAGAATTGCATTTTCTCTGGTGACTGAAATGCCTCTCCCTTGCCGGTGGGGAACGAAGCATGACATATTTAAGGTAACCTTTGTCTAAAAGAAAGCGAAAGAAAACAAAGCGAAAGAAAACAAAGCGAAAAAAAAAAAAAAAAAAAAAAAAAAAGAAAAAAAAAAAAAAGAAAAAAAAAAAAAAAAAAAAAAAAAAAAAAAAAAAAAAAAAAAAAAAAAAAAAAAAAAAAAAAAAAAAAAAAAAAAAAGAAAAAAAGCGAAAAAAAGAAAAAAAGCGAAAAAAGAAAAAAGCGAAAAAGAAGTGTGCATGTGGAGATGTCCTTATAGTATGTGAAAAGTTCATATTAAAAGATTGCTAGACTTAAATTTTCATCAGTGTTCTTTGTTGGCTTCGTAGAATGGTTAGA